AATGAGGAAATAAGTAAATAAATAAGTAATACTAATAATTTATGTAAATACAAATGCTCCTCAGCTTAAATTATTTATTTTTGAAAGTATTATAATATTTTGAAATTCGATATTTTCGTAATAAATTGATTAATTTGATAATAATTGTGCTGATATCTATAAACTTATTATAAGAAATATTATTCTCAATTATGAGGCAGAGTTTTACCAAGAGATGCCAATTTATTAATTAATTTATTAATTTATTAATTTTAGATTTACGTAATGAACCACCCATTAAAATTCTATTTCTTTTATTTTTATATGGAATATATAAAAAGTTCAACTGATTTAATCATATATGCATTTTAGCTTTGGTATATTATCTGGGAATTCCCAACTCGTTATGTCAGCTGAACTGCTTTTATTTATCGGTTATGTCATTAACAACCAGTTGACTTCAATTATTAAATCACAATTAAATTACAATTGACTTTCGGCATAAGAAAATATATAACACTTATTAGCATAATTACATGTTGCCCCTTCCCCAATGCCCCACTGACTCTACTCTACTCGAATCGCAACTTGATTTAAATTGTCTTTCACCTTGAACTTGAGCGAAGTGCATAAGCTTGAGATTCCCTTTCCCTTTTTATATATATGTACAGATATGTATTATATATAGTTCTTCTTCTTCTTCTTCTTCTTCTTTGACTTGGCTTTGCTCTGTTTCTTTGAGTTATGAATCACATTGAGTTTGACTTCTGGATAAAATTCCAAAGCAGCAGTTGGCGCGTGTTTTGAATTCTGAAATAAAACACGTCGCTTGATGTGTACTTTTAACACTATTGTTTATATATGTACATATTAATAAACTTATATATTGTTATTGTTTTTTGTTGTTGTTCTTTTTTGGTTTAGTTAAGACCATTGACCGTCCTCGGCATGTTTTGTGAGCATTCCGAGTCGCTGGCGACACATCCGTATGGCATTTGATTCTTGTTTTTATATTTTCATTAAATCTCCGGTAGCCGGTAGTTAATTTTTACTCTTCTTTTTGCTGTTGTTGTTGTAATTTTGTAGTATTTTATTGTTAAATTTTTGGTTGATTCACTTTTGGCGCTTTTTTTATTGCCTGCACAAAATAACTTGTCAAAAAAGGGCATTATAACCGGCAACTGGTCCCAATTTCAGTTTCAAGTCCAGTTCATCCAGTTGGCTCATCTGCTGCATCTGCTTCTTCTTCTTCAGTCATTGACCGTGGACGACCTTGCGCGCCAATTTAGTTAAATTATTTTGTGCTAAGCTTGTTGTTGTTATTGTAGTTTTGGGCTGTCGTTGATTATTGAAGTTCAATAAGTTTTGATGCCAGCTGTCGACAAGGCCATAATTTAGCATTAAAATAGCGCTAGAACAAAAGACTTAGGCAACGAACTTGATAATGCCAAGCAATCGATACTTTTTTATAATCGATAATTTACATAGTTCTTTTCTGTTTTTTTTTTTTTTTTTACGAAACAATAAATTTTTAAGTGCTTGAAGAGAGCGAATGTGATCATAAATTTTGGTGTTAGACATGAATTTCGATCTTGAAACCTTAACGGAAAACGAGTTTGAAACGGAAAACTATAGTCTCAGACCGAAAAAATTAGTATTATATATAGATGGAGATGTTGATAGAAATACATAAACAATGTAGATAATTAGGAGCATAAACGTTTAGATATTGGCCAAAATGCATTATAAATTTGAAAAAAAAAAAAAACGTAAATAGCTAGAATTATAAACAAACATATATAGATATATCAATATTTTGAAATGGGTATATTTTGTTTAAATTTAAAACATTTTGTTTTGTCTAATTTCAACAAATATTTTTTTTTTACAGTTTGGGTTAAAAATATAAACACATACATATAATAATTTAAAGAAATGGTTGATAAAGATTTTTTTTATTTAAACTAATTTCAAGAATATTTAAAAACTTTTGTAATTAAATAAATTTGTGTAGATAGGATTTAGTTTTTATAATTTTTGATATTGGTACATAAACTAAAAAATGAATGCTTACACATTCTGCCCATAAAACTAACTGTTATTTCTGTGTTAATATTAACAATTTAAGTACGCATAAAAGCTGTTGGACTTTATGTGCTTATATAATATAGATTGTGAATTGTTTACACATACATATCTGAGTGTGTATTTTATGGCTAATTTGGCACATCATAAAAATTGCATCATGCGTCTACCTCAAGCGTCATACGCTAACTGTGTACAACGTCTGTGTACATACGTCTAACTGTGTACAACTATGATTAACTCTTCTGAGTGGTTCTGCCTGGTTTTGTGTTTGCCTGCCAAATTTGCAACTGTCAAGATCTTTAACGACATAAACATACATACATACATATGTGCGTATATATATATACAACAGTGTTAAGATCAAAGAGGCTGCAGCACGGTAGTCGGTAGTAAAAATTCAATTACTAAATTAAATATTAATTATATGCAATGCACAAGCTTCGTTCATTTCGATGCTAATTCAATTAGCAGATGTTACCAACCTGTCAGTTATAAATATATGTATATATGTATATGTATATGTACATATAATTATTTGTATATATATATTTTTAATTTTCGTGTGACAGCAGCTGTGATTTTTTTTTTTTTACCTTTTATTGATTAATACAAATTCTTGACTTGTTTATTAAATTTGATTTGTTTGTGAGGTCGTCTCAAAGTGAGCGAGTTTTTATTCGCATTCTTTGCATTCGTTTAATGGCCTGACAAGGTCCACCTTAGTCAGCAGCAGGAGTTTAGCCCTCGTGCCTGTTGAATTTTATTAGAGCATAAATTCACACTCACTGTGCTAAAAAGCTTTACTGTGGCGTCAAAAGCTTTTTGGCGCTCTCCTCTCTCTCCCTCTCTCTCGCTCACTGTGTGTATTTTGTCTTGCGCTCAGCACTTAACGACGCTCAGTTTGCCAACGACAGGCGTTTGATGCGGACGCGACGGCGCAAGTAAATAATAACAAGACGCGAACGTTGCGCGCAGGCGCATTAACCAACAAAAACACGTACAATCAAAAAAAAAAAAAAAAAAAAAAAAAAAAAAAAACTGTGCTCATTTTGTTTTTGGTTTGTTTTATGCTTTTGTGTTTTGTGCCATGCGCCGGGCGCTTAGCTAAATTCAAATCAGCAAACTAAAAATAAATAAAAATAAAACTAAACCTAAAACTAAAAATCGAAAATAAAATCCAACTAAATATTTTTTAATTTGACGAAAAGCAAAGATAAAACTATAACGGTACTTGGCCTGCTCCTCTTTCTAGTAATTTATAGCTATGCTTTGTTGTCGTCTTTCTTTGTACAAAAAATGTGATATCTTCGTGAAAATTGGGCAAAAAAAGTGTGCAAAAGCAATTAACGGCAATAAAATTAAATTACACATAATCAGAGCTAATAAAAAAGTGAGCAAATCTTTGACGTAATAGTGGAAGAAAAAAGAGCAAATGCTTTTGCTAGTGTGTTGTAATATACAAATTTACAAAAGTTGCGCAAATTATAATAATAAACAAAAAGATGTTGTTATAAAAAGTGGCTAAATTATCATAAAATACAAAAAAAAAAAAAAAACAAAACTCGTCATAAAATTTCCCACTAAATACAATCAAAATTCAATAGCGACTCATCGTTTATTTATTCTATTTAGGCATTACGAAAAGCTATGCCAATAATTAAAAAAGAAAAAAAAAAAAGTTTAAAATAACAAATTAAAAACTCATAAAGACACCAGCAACGAATAGAGAAACATTCAAAGTTAGCACGAGAACTTTGTAGCTTCTGTCTGCATATGGCTGTCTCTTTCGCTCTCGCTCTACTTGCACAGCGTATTATTATGCACGTTTTCCCTTTGCTTTTGTGTGTGTGCTCTTTTGTTGGAGTTTCTATTGTAGACTTTACCGTTTAATCGCTCTCAGTGTGATGTCTGTAGCTGTGTCTATGCATATATGCATCAGGTGTGTACAGACGACAGACGCCCATTTATCGCTATTGTTGTAGCTGCTGCGTTTTTTGATTACGACAATTTCTTAAGGTGCGTTGCTGCACTCGCTGCTGGTGCTGCTGCTGTAATGTTTCTGTCGATATTACTTCATCTGCTGTTTATTTCCTATGTGCTGTGCGGACACATGTAACTGACCCACGCCAAAACTGACCAGCGCAAAAAGCGCAGCAAAGCAAAAAGCCAAAAACTAGGCACACAAACAAAAAACATATCGCAAAAAAAGCCGGTTGAAGGCGACTCTTACATATTTACACGCACCAGCGCTCATTGAACACACACAGCAACAACAACAACAGCAGTAAGCAAAAAGCAAACAGAAAGCAAAAGCAGCAGCGGCACGACACAAAAACCTGTAACGCATTCAGCAAGGCGACGTCGACAGAGCTTTTAAAGCATTTGCAGTACGCGCCGCGTCTTGATTATGTCAATTCCATGTTTACTTCATTTCCTCAACCAAAAACCGAAAAAAAAGAAAAGAAATACAAAGACAAACTGAGCGGCAGTCAGAAGAGCAGAGCAATAGTAATTTCACTTTCGTTGGACTTGAAAAGCTGCAGCAGCATGCTGCGAGAGTGCGAGTCAGAGAGTAAGAGTGAGAGTGAGAGTGAATGAGTGAGTGAGCACTAGCTGCATTGGATGCCGCTTCTGTTGGCGCTGCTGCTGCTGGTGTCTCATTGGGGCGTTGCTGTGCTGCTGCTACTGTTTTGTTTTTGCTTTTTCTTTGCTCTGGCATCGCATAGTTTCGGTTTCATTTTGTAACTGTAATGCCTGTGCCATTGTTGTTGCCTGCTTGCTGGTTGACAGGCACACGCAAAGCTTTTTTTTTCTTTTTTCTTTCGTTAAGTCGTTGTGTAGTAAATAACGTAATAACGTAATGCGCTTTAAGATTTCCACATGCACTGCGGCGTCGCGTGTTACGTTTTGGTGCCAAGTCCAGCGTCGACGCCGACAGCTATAGCAGCCGCAGCCGCAGCCACAACTGTAGCCGCAGCAGCGACAGCGACAGTTGCATTGTTTTTGTTGTTAGGTAATCGAGCTAATAATGCGCTCACTGCGATGACGACCGCGACAGCGACAGCTCCTGCAACAACTATGCGAAGGTCAGCAGCGACAACAGACAGAGCTACATATGAGGCACCCCAATGAAATTTTCGATTTCACGTTTTACACACACATATTTTTTTTATTTATCTTTTATTTTTGTTGGTGTTGTTATTAAAATTTTCGTGTCAGTTTGTAAAAAATTCTAATTATAAATGAAACAATTTATTACCGGGTTTTAAAATAAAATGCAATTTATGTGCTAAGGCGCGCGACGTCGACTAGCCAAAGCCAAAAACCGGTTTCAAGCAGTGCCAAACTACAACAACAACAATTGCCAAGTGGGTGCAACAAAAAAAGTAGAAAATAAAACTAAAAGTAATAATAGAAACAAAACAAATATAAAAAGTGAGAAAATCCCAAATTTTGCAAACATATGTAAAAAGCTGTGAAAACAACGGATACAAAATTATAAAAAAATTAAAAAAAAAAATAACAAAAAAAAAAAAAAAAACAATAATTTAGCATGGATCGTTTTTGCACTTTGTGTATGTGTGTGTCCGTGTGCGTCGTGCTTCATTAATCAAACGCAATCAATAAATCAATTGATATTAATAAATGTTAATTTTATTGCTTAGATATTATTTAGTAGCAGCCGACGCATTACTTAAATGCATTAAAAATTGAACGAAATTGTGAATTGGATTTACGAGACGATTATAAAAATACAAACAAAAAATTAAAATAAATTAGTGAAAAAATCAAAATTGAAATAAATAAAATAAGAAACAAATAAAACAACGAATACAAAAACAAACAACGATATTTATATGCCGGTTTTGTATTAACTGACAAGTTTGGTAAGTGAACTTTTGCTTAAGGAATTGATAATTAATTGAGACACTGAAAGAAATTTTAAGCACATTTTAAAGATATTATCAATTTAATCGTTGGGATATACATATTAGAAATGCATGCTTAAAATTAAGTAAGTCTAATGCAATTTTCTTACTTTTCAGCTATAGTTAAAAGTAGATAGACGATTCGCATTCAGTTCGAGCGCTAAGAAAAATTTGAGGGGAATCTTGAAAGTATAGAAACAGTTAAGTAGAGGACTTAGATAAAACTTTTAGCTTTTGTTGAAACCTGAAAGATGACTAAGTAAACTTTTGAGTAGAATTGAGGAAGGGACTTCATTTTGTTTTAAAAGTGTGTACGATTATAAAAACTTAGAAAATATTACACTAATAATGTTAAGAGAAGATAGAATCCAATCAGAAATTTCTAAGGAGGAGCTAAGTTGTTTTTCTCTTTTTTTTTTCCATATTTGCTTCATAGTCTCCCAACACAATATTACCAATTTAAAATCGACTATAACAAAGTATGTATAACGGATAATAACAATACTTGTGCTCACGCTAAGTACATTCAAGTTAAGCCTTAGTGTTTAATTCCCTCCAATTGAGTATAACAGACTACAATGTATAACAGTTCTACTTGCCCGCATGCTGAGCGCATTAAACTTAAGCTATAATGTTCAATTCTTTCTTATTTTTTTCGCCCATCTGTTGCTTCATTAAAACTCTCTATCTGTAAGTGGCGCTGGCACTGATTGGCCTCAGGGCGCGCCGGGTCTGCAACTTTCACAAAGTCAGAACATGTATTCGCCGACAGGGAAAAACCCCGATGCGCTGATACTTAAACACTTGAAGACTTCAATCATAACAAAAGTTTTACTTACATCCGCGTGCCAGCATACGTAACACGTTGCGTATGCGCAATTCTCTTTATTTCGCCTTTTATAAGCTCGACGTCCGTTTCAATGGATAAAAAAAATATATATACATATATTGTTTAAGTCTATTGTTTCTCCAACAAGATAAATGCTAATTGAAATTTAATTTTTAGAATGGCCATTGAGTTAAGTATGGAGTGAATTCATTAGATTGTCATAAAGTTTAAGTTCATCATGAACGCCTGTCTATGCAATGATCAAAAAGTTTAATTTGCTAAGGTTATCTATCTATTTATTTAACTGTTATTCAAAATATATAAATATTTAATAAAATTTTCCAAATATCGGGCTTATTGAATTTAACCAAACAACGCCTTGATTTAATGATTTTTGTGTAGCGATTTAAAAACCGAATTTTAAAAATTAAAACGAAAATAAACTGATGAAGAAATACGAAAGTCTTTAAATTTTAGTTAGTCTGGCAGATGATATGGTTCGTTACTTTAGTATAGGACGGTTTTTGGCTAGAGTATTTAAAGATTCGTTATGCTTAAGGCATTATTAATATTCACTTATTCAATTTGATCGGCACTTAATTATAACTTTTTTGACTACGTCATTCTCAGCAACAGCTGATGATGATTATAGACGTTGCTATTTCTATCTATTGTTGTTGCTCTTCTGTAGCCCTCCCGCCATGGCTTTTGTTTTGTTTTTTAAATCCGGTTCTAAGTCTTAGGCATTTCTGGTTTTCAAATCTCTTATTTTTAACAAGTTTGGTTTTTTTTCCGAGTGCTGAAAATTCAATTCCTTTGTTCAATTTTTTATTTTGTTTAGGTATTAATTCAGTATTTTTTTTTCTTGCTTCATATTTTTATATGGACTTTAGCTTTACATTTCCGGTTAGCGGGGGGCTTTACTGTGCTGCCCTCTGTTTATTTAACTAATTTAGCAGCTGGATTGGTTGCATTGAGCTGCTGTTGCTGTTGCTGCTAGCTGCTGCCCGTCACTTGTCTATAAGTCAGCTTCAGTCATTGTTGCCATCTATATTTCTGTTCGCGGTTCGCGGTTTTCTTTGCTGAGGTCTATCTGCAGCCTAAACGCTTAGTCACGAACCAAAGCGATCCGTTTCGAGCCGTAAAAGTGCAAATCCATCTGCTACTTGGCATCTGGCAATTGGCAACGGGCCTTTATATATTTGATATACTCTTACCGTAGGTATTCTTATGTGTGCCATGAAATATGTAACACATTAAGAGGGGAATATATATAATCAGTAGATTAGACGTTTGATCTTTTATAAGGTGTATGTAATGTTAATGTGCTTAAGAATAATAGGCATATATGTAGATGTGTATATAGATGTGTTTGACATTGCGTTGAGTGAAATCACCCTTCCTACACGAGCGACTGCTTCGTGTTCTTTGAGTGAAATTCTAAGGTTGCTCTAGCATTTGATTATTTGCTGAGCGGAGCTGTTCAGTCGCAAAACAGCGGTAAAGAAGAATAAATAATTAGAAAAAAAA